ACTTAGGCCTCATGGCCACGGGGCAGGGAAAGGACAGGCAGAGACCCAGAGCAAAAGCAGTGACGTGTGCTCAGACAGCCCCTTCCCACCAGGAAGGGGGTTGGTAACCATGCTGCAGTCTATTCAGGTACAGCTACTGAGACAAAGAGCTGGAGCTGTGCTCAGTCCACCTGTGAAAGATGCTGTGTTTAACTGCTCTCCATTTCATCCTGCTCTTTAGTTTGCTACAAATGCATGCATTTAGTTTGATACAAATGCATTGTTTAATTTAGAGTCAGCTATAGGTTCAAGGATTCTTCCTCTCTCCTGTTAATACTCCCACAGCTATCTAGGAAGCTCAGCTACACAGATATTGACAGAGAGCAATAAATAATAAAGATACTTGTCATTTTTGTTCCCACAGGCACTAGGACTTCAATTCATGAAATAAGGTGCCTGTTTCAGTGAAAGTGTTCATTAGTGAACAAAACAAACAGGATTAGAAGATGTTTCTAAGCAGTCCTTACCTAAAAGTAGTCCTCCACCCTGTGCAGATAGCTACGCGTAAGAAGTCAACTGCAAGGAATAAGACATCTGCACAGGGAGAGTCTGAATCCCTGCTCCCCGGCACCTCTGCCTTCTGCGCAGGGAGCCCTGACCTCCTTTCATCAAATAGGACTCAAGGAGAGCACTTGTCAGGGTAGGAGAAAGGTAATAAACACTTCTGTCAATATCCCGTTCTATGCCTGAATCAAAAGCATTCTTCCTGCCCTGTGCTGCCTAGGGGGCTGTACACGGATCAAAGTTTGTGTAAGCATTAAAGTACAGACAAGGAGTCTCAGGGTAGCACTCCAGAAGCAGCATAGCCATTTCTAGTCAGAGGAAGCCTGCCTGCAGGTAACTGCTCACACAGCGCACACAGCACACCCAGCTCAGAGTCACACAGAGCCCTGAGCAGGGCACCAGCCTCCCCTGTAACGGGCTGCAGGGAGCAAGCACACTCAAAACAGCTTTAATCTCCAGTACCTGCTGTTACACCACTGCAGGATAGCACCTCTCATCATCGGGAGTGTAAAGAGTTCCAAGTGCTGAGACAGACTGAGGTGTCCAGTTCTTAATCCAAAACAGCAGCACAGCTTTCTGAGTTGGTTTTGTACGATATGCCATAGGAAAAAGGGAAGCGTACCGTATGTAGGTGAGGTGGCTCGATTCATACATCATCTAGGCAAAACAGGAGCCTATGTTATTTCTATCATTAGTTATAATTAGAGAACTCTAATCAACCCCCTGCCTGCCCCAGTACTCAAAAGTCTTTGAATCTGCAATTTTACCTATATTCTTCATTAAAGAGGTAAAAAGGAAGAGAAAGTCATTCATGAAATTCCCATCCACATCAAGGATTTTTATTTTCAGAGGATTTTTATTTTCGAGGTTTTACATTCAACACATGCATCTTTAGTCTTTTTAAGTAGGAATACGGTACTCCACCATTACCACCTCCAATAATATTTCACACTATACATACATTTACGTAATGCCTAATAAAGATTAGATATTTCTCAGTCTTCTTCAACAGTTATTATAAGACTCTCGTGCAGAGAGAGAAATACAGATCTTTATCTTCTCTCAGGAAGACAACTGCAGGGGGTATTCATTGCATGCAGTTGCTGGTGCAAGTGAATTACTCAATAAGCTTCAGCATTTTGAGTCTCAACTATTTCCAACAGATGGTGCTGATGACATAATTGCTAACGACTAAATTTCAACTTGTTAGTGAAGGATTTTTAAAGACACAGGTAAGTAGAGTCAAGTCCAGACTGAGCTCTTCAACAGGGCCACCTTGACACCAATTTCACTTCCATCCATTCCACAGTTTGCTTTCTGCATTTACAGTAGGTTTCCTACAGATACTGGAAAATACCCTGTTCCCATTCTCACTGCTGAAGCCTGAAGTGTTTCCTTGCAGGGATCATGGATTTCACAAGATGCTGCATTTAACAGGGCCATAGAGACAGGGGGACGATTACCCATACTCTTCCGTTGTCGTATCGCTACTCAAAACCTCATCAGCCATAGATGCAATGACATGAAGAAACACTTATTTTAAGCCAAATGTTTCACTCACACAGTCAAACACGTCTGCCATTACAGAGAATCAAGGAGATCACGCTGCCCCTGCCTAGAACTTCCACAACTTGCAGGAAATCAATTTAAGAGCCTTACACAGCTGATCTCAGAAGCCAATCTGCATACCAGGGGATGTGGGGAAAAAAAAAGGGCAGGAGAAAGGTTGGGGGAAGAAGTCCTTCTTTGAGAAGGACAGCACAGATCTGCTTGTTGCTGAGGTCACAAGTTTGCAGTAGAACCTCCTAGTGAAATATCTGACAGGAACATCTTTGTTTTCTACAGAAGCTCAGCACTACTTGCCAGATTTGTTCCCTTTTTCCCCCAGATATAGCTAATTACCTATAAGCTTTACAGAACCAGTGAAGCTTAATTAAAGTTTCGTGGAGGCAAGTCTCTATGAACCTAGCATGTAATATGCAGAAGCCCCAAAGCAGAAAGCATATCAAGAAAGCCAAATATAATCACCTGTCAAACACATGGTCCAATTGCCAGCTCTAAAATACCCCAAGCATGCACTGAGCTCAAGTAGCAATCAGGCCAGGATGTAATGGGTGCTCAAATCCCAGCAGTTTCCATTTAACTGCTGGATGCATGCAAGAGCCTTTATGAACTTGAATCAGAAAGCATCATGTCTATTGACCTAGACAAACCTGCCTCAGTCTCATCAGATTTCCAGCATCCTGTCTCTAGAAAGGAACTATGAGATAGCATAACAGCAGGCAGCACCTGTGCCATTCCCACCGAGCAGCTATGGAGTAAAGGAGCAATAAAGGTAGGAATTGGTTGCAACCTGTTTGCTCAGCTGATCTGGAACAAGGTGTTTGGTGACTCTCACAGATCCATGCTTTCTGAAACATAATTATCTCAGAACTCAGTTACTGTTGTTGATACAAGCCAAATCAGCGATCTAGGCAAACAAAGCAACAGCTTCTGGAGGTGCAGTGACACCAACTTGCTTACAAGCCCATTACTCAAGCAGCTGAGAATCAAGGAAGTTCACAGCCTGACCTTCCACTGATCAGCCAGCTCTCCTGCACAGCTGGGTCCCAGGCACTGAGCAACGCAGCTCCAGAGAGGAATTGGCAAAGCAGCTGGAAAATTGTTCAAGGTCTTCTTAAGCACCACAACTATTTGGCACTGTTAAAAAGGACACCAGCTCCAAACGCAGCCAAATCAGTTTTTTTAAACTAACAGTCACCTTTGTTCAGACCAGCATACTGAAAGATGCATCGGCACTGGAACTTCCAGAACTGACACCAGAAGAGGGAAACAAGCACTGCATACATAGGATTTCGTTCTTTTTTGAACAAATAGATCAGGTTCAAAACTGGTAAAGGATTGAGTTTAAAATAGTTCTTCCCTTTTTTTTTTTTCCTTTCTTCTAGTAGCCCATGCAAACAGACCCACACCACAGCACATGGATTCTGATCTCCTGGGCAGTTCACAACCAGCTCCTCATGCATAAGAAATCCCTTCTCAGAATGCAAAGTCCTTCTGCCTCTCCAGGTGGGACCAGTTTGTATGGAGGTCACCAGAGCTTCAGAGCACAGGGACAGGTTTTCCAGGATCGTGCCTCTCCGTCACCACCCACCCCTGCCAGTTCTCTGCACCAAACAGCATGCTTCATACCTAATAGCTGTAACCATCTGCAGAGACTGACAGGTTTAATACAGCTGCTCAAGTAATCAACTCATAAGCCAGAAGACTCTTACATTCAGTGTTTCAGTTCTAAATAGTTTAGAGAGCCTACCACGAGCAAAAAAAAAAAAGTTATTAGTTAATTCACACTAGTTTTCTATGCCAGCATTTCCTAGAAAAATCGATAACTTAATTGATAATTAAGAATTAAAACAGTTAACAACCATTCATCATGACAGAATTTCAAGAACATATGATCTACCTAAAAATTAAAACAAAGAGCAGAGTTACAAGAACCACTGCTGCACAAGTACGCTTCTCACTGCAGCACAGTCAAAGACATCTGTGCTGGCTGTGGCAACACTCTTGGGCACTTTCACTTAGCACTAAGACTACAACTAATTCAGACACAGTAGCACACTCCAGCAGCTTCTCAAGCACTTCACTGAGTAAGGAGTGCTTCACACAGTGGTTCTCACAGCAGCTAGACCAGAGACAACAGCATTCTGTAGTTTTCATTGTGCCCCTCAGTGTCTCTTTCACTGACACCATACATCAGCAACAAGCTCACTCTTTCAGACTCTGCTCATATCTACCCCAGGTCTGCAATTTCACTCACGCAGAACTGCCTGTTATTTGTTCAGCTTTAGCCTGAGCTCTGGTTCTTTCTCAACATCATCAAAAATCTTCTCTGTTTTATGGGGAAATGTCTCAGGTGCCAATCACAAACAGCCATGTGTAGAAATTGCCTCCCAGTGGAACCACTGAGCACACACAAACGTGTGACCAGTTTTTCTAACAGCTTCTGGCAGGACCTGAAATGCCAGATAGAGAGAAAAACGTTTTTTGTATCATCACCCATCTCTCTCCAGCGTCTCCCACAGGAAATGGAAAACATTCCCTCTGCAAAGTTGCACAGAAGAATGGACAGACAAACAAACAAACACAAAACAAACAAACAGACCAAGCATTAAGCACAGCTACATGCATCCATATCTTTACAATCTCTCACTTCACACTTCACCACCTTGTAACCCCTCACCAATTTCAGTTGGTTTTGGCAGAGGAATAAAAATCCACCTCCTAAACTCTTAATAGAATCAGCTTATCAAACAGCATCCTACTGATGGAGGAAGCTTAGAAAAAAAGAAAAAGAAAAAGCTTACCTGCAGTATTTGAAGGTTCAAATGAGGTAGAAATTACAGAAGCATTGGTGAAAACACGCACCCAACTGAGGCACAAGACAGCACCTGTAGTTCTGATCACCAGCTGACCCACATCCAATCAGGCAAAGTTGCTTCAGCTGTGGGCTCTGCCTTTGGTTGAGGCAACTTTAAGGAGCATGACTCTGTCCTGCTCCATGCCAGAAAGATGCATTCTGAAACTGCTGCCTTTTCACTGGATGTATCCCATGCAAAGGACTGAGCTCATAATCAGCAGCGGGTACCTGTTACAAATGTCATTTTTTGTGAGCCAGAACAGGAGATCTCAGCGCTGCACTGCAGCTGCCCTCCTGCACCTGGAAAAACAGCCAGGCCTGTGGCAGCCTGCAGCCCACACCAGGACCAACCGCCTCCGGCTCAGCGGTCTTCTTGTCTGCTCCTTCTCTCATCCCCTCCACCTGTGCCATGCTCTCTCCTCAGCACCTACACAGTCCTGCCTAGACATAACCTGCAGCTGTTTGCAGATGACAGACGTTGCCTTTGGCTTTGTTATTTTCCACAGGGTGCGTCATTCTTGGCGCTGTTTCCTGAGATGGCAGCTTTGAACTCCACACTGCTCAGCCTCTCCTCCGCACATAAGAGCAAGGAGTACAGAAGAGTACACAGCTCATCATGTTCAGCCTCACCAAGCCCAGGTCTCCCATAGTTACTTGTTCTCTTTGTATTTTGTCCTCAGATCTGGCCGCAGCAGCCCTCACTGCCCCTGCATCAGGAAAAGCTGTGCTGGGACAGGGCTGCAGGGAGCAGCAATCACATACCAGGAATGAGCTGAGGGTGATACTGGTGCAATCTCATGGCACACGAAGAGAGCCAGGGGCTGGTAACTGCATCTACTGACAGCCCCAGACAAGGCATGGAGATTAATTAAGTCCAACATCCAGCAAGGGAATTCAATCAGGATCAAAAGGAGACGGACCCAGAGACAGGACTGGAAACAAGCGTACCATGTGAGTTCAAGCCTGCCCAGGAGACAGAGCCAAAGACTGGATTGGAGATAAGCTTCAGTTTACATTTGAGATCTGATCAGGTAACAAGCTACCTGCAGCACGGCCTGAAGGTCTACCCAGCAGAAAAGCACCAGTGCAATATCATTCAGGCAAAGACTGAAGAACAGGGCCCGAGTTTAAGTGGGACTCCTGGTCCCATGGGCAGGAGGGTGGTTGTGAGCCCTAAACAAGGCAGGTCAGGGCCATCATGGCCTGTTAGAGCTCACATTTGGCTGAGTATTGGCCTCTCTCCTGTGCTGACAGTAATGCTGCTTCCCCGTGTTTTCTACCTGGACAATGCATGCAGCTATCTGCACTGCCAAAGGCCATCTTGCCCAACCACATGGAGACAACAAGCAACCTGGAAGGGTATCTGGCTCTGCAGCAGCATCTAGCAATGCTGCTATCCTGCTCTGCTGAGTCAGGACCGTGTTTCCCTAGCCTGCTCCCCTTCTGCAAAGCTCTCTCCTGGTACCCTGCCTCCTTGGAGTGGGTGCCTGGCTCATGTCTATAATGGGGCAGTTACATTTTGTTTTCAATGTGAAATTAAGCCTGAAGAAGAAACCAACTCATTACATAGAAATCAACCCCAAAGCCCTTATACAGTCCCAAGGTTTCTACCTGCATGCCTCAGATAAAAGTCATTTACATAGTTTTGTGTTCTGGTAGGCTACAGATCTCAAACATGACCTCTGCTTTTGCACTAAAAACTAAGGGAAGACCAGGGCCAGCAACAAAAGAACCTTGTGAAAAAGGCCCCTGGGAATCTTTGTGCCTGCAGAGGAAGGCACCGAGATTTTACAGTGCAAAGGTTTGGGGATCAGGGCTTGGAATCAGAGTAACAGCTCAGCCTCTCCTAGCAAGACTAAGGTTTCTGGGGCAGACTTAGGAGAGCTCTCTGGAAGTGATCAACATACAAGTAGGCAATTACTTGAGGAGAACATGAGTTCCTTGGGGGAAAGTCTATGGCTTGAACTCCTGAGACTTCAGCAGAAGGCTTCATAGCATAGAATGAAACCAGCAACAGAAGGAAATTATTTTGGAAATGGATGAAAAGTAGAGAGAAACTGTTTGAGGAGTATTAACAGAATAACTGTAGTTCTTCTAGAAACACTGCACACTGGATTACTCTGGAAAGAAGTTAATTTTACCCCACACATGTCATGATAATAGTTCATGGTGCACCATGTCTGAGGTGTATCAATCAGTGAAAGGGAGAAGCAACAAAAACGGCGATCATAGCCTAAGCTGAGGTTCTTATTTATGCAAACTGTACTTGTTTCAGTCTTATTAAAGCAGATTTCGAATTGTGTCCCCACCTGCATCATAGCCAGGTTTGTGAGAGGGGCTGTAAGGGTAACACCCGCAAATCAAGACCCACTTCCAGTGAAGGAGCCACTTTGCACTTCCTGTCAAGGAATCGTCTGACATGGCTCCACAGCGATGGCCACAAGGCCTAGGGGCAGTTCTTGCAGAGCTTCCCCAGTTACCTGCCAGGAGCTGTCAGAGGCAGAACAGTGCAAGACAGAAAGAATCGTAACAATGACTCTGGTGTATCTTCTAAATATAATGGAAAAGTGAATGTTTTTTAAAGCACACGAAGTGACAAGCTCACTGCCAGAGTTACAGGACTGTTCCGTTTACAGCAAATTGAACGCCATTAATTTCCATTAGATAATTCTTGCTGGGGAAACCGGTTTGTGACCAGCGTGCTGGCTCCCTTCTGCACAGAAAAGTGAATTAAAAAATGGATTGAGAGGATTCCCTCCCAACCCACCCCTGTGACAACTACTGCTTCAATGTTTATTGAAGGGGGGAAATGATCTGTTATCTATTCTGTAATAAGATGACAATAAACTGAATGCTTTGAAGTTTGGCAGTGCACCATCATTTGCTGTTGGTAATATTAGCCTTACATTCATAGGACACTGTTCTTGCTTATGGATTAAAGAAAAATGAAAATGACATCGCTTCCAGCTAAATGTCCTGGTCTTAGGCTGCAAATACAGCAGAGAAAGCTACAAGTAAATGGGAACTTCCCCTTAAGAGCTGTGTAAAAGAGGTTGTAGGTTTTTTATTTTTTCACTGACAGGCAAATCTGAAAGTTTTAAGGTTGAATATTTCCCTTTATTAAACGTACAGAAAAAGAGATGTTGAGGAATACCACCAAGGTCAGGAATGCAGACAGGATAAGAACACAATTATTTAAGCTGTAAGCAGAAAGCTTACAGAAAATCCATCACAGATATTAGATTTTAAACTTCCACAAATTGCAGAAAGAAATACTCTGTGCTACAGTTGTCTAAGTAAAAGTTCACAGTCAAATTTGTCGTGATTTAATAAGGGAATGGTAGCTTGGGAAAAAAGTTAACGAGGAACTGGCTGTTATAAATACAGCTAATGCAGACAGTATGCTGGGGAAGAGCAGAGGAAAATAGGTGTTTCAGTAGCAATACACTTTGACTGTAAAATGGCTGATTGCAGCAAACAAACTTAACCTGATTCGGTCACCTACCCTGGGGGGAGAAAAAAGTTGACTTTTCAGGAAATCCTAAGCATTACTGAATGACTGAAAGTTGACAAAAGACCGATTATGAATTGTTTGTATGAAGACCCTTAGTGCGAGATTCAGCAGAGCTCGTGCCCAGCAGTCCTATAGCAAGCCTAAGAGGCTGCCTTCGATTTCTTCAATCTTGTAGAATTCATCATGTTTTTAAATGCACACTAATTAAAAGAACATTTTCCTATGTAAATAGATTTTGAAAGACCGCAGAAAACTGCTAAACATAGGCTTTGCTAGGACTGGACTTAAGGCTGAAGACAAAAAATGCATTCAGGAAAAAAAAGTTTTAGTTCAATGCAGCCATGGTGTATGAAAATACAAACCAATAGTCTGAACAACAACAGCAATATTAATAGGAATGAAGGAGAGTGGTATGTTTGAAGGCTGTGGAAATACACACCAGAGGGAAGAAACACGTCACCTTATGGAACTGTTCTTTCCCTGAGGCATTCCTTCAATTGGAGTTTTCCTTTGTTTTTCCCGGGGTCTCTTTCATCCAAGAAAGGCACATGAGCTCACCGAGTGCCAGAGCCAGCAGTGCTGAACAGCCCTCCTGAGCTCACGGCAGGACCTGGGCAAGCCTGCACAGGGAGGGGAGGTGAAGAGCAGGGAATTGCAGGTAAAAATGCTGGAGGGCAGCATGGTGGCACACGCTTTTCCTGCACTTTTGCACTTACTTCAAAGTTCTCCCTGGAATGCTACTTGCAACAATTTCTCTCAGGAGCCATTTTTCTGTGCCAAGGAAATACCACTGACCATTACTCATTTTAGGAAAAATAATTTGCTTTTTTTTTTTTTTTTTTTACAGAGGAACTAAAAATATAAGTACGGTTAAAAGAAAAATTAGCAATTGTGGATCGTGTGTGACACAGAGCCCTGATTCCTCACAGTCAGCTGATTTGTCAGCTGTCTCCTGCTCCCAGCTGCTTCTCACCGTGACATCTCTGCCTCTCAGCTGGTGGAGCCACGCCGTCCCCAGCGGTGCCCCAGTGCCAGGGCATGCTCCAGGCACGGCACAGTAACTGCGCTGCTCCTCTGCTGCCTTGGCACAGCAGCACAGCTCCTGCAGACAGCCGGCTCTGCACGCAGCTTACAGAGGGCTGTGTGCATCTCCCCACGCGTGGGCAGAGCTTGCTGTGAAGGAGGGCTGGGGCCCCGCAGCGTGTGGGCAGGCGGCACTGCGCCGCTGCTGAGCTCGGCGTGGACGTGGACCTAGGAAGGGACACTTCCTATGTTTATGTCGGGATTAGGGGAGACCTTTGCCACACCGGTTAGCCCCACGCTCCCAGTTGCTCTTGCATTAGTGCTGGGGCTGCCTGGCTAATTGTGGCATGCGAGCGGCAGGCTGCGCAGATGTCAGATGTCACGCTCTATCTGATGAAGAGGTCCCTGCCTCGGGCTGTTTATATATGACCTACCAGAATTTCCTGCTGCATGATGAAATAATTAGGGGGCCCTCATGCAGGGAATAACGTTGCGAGTAGGTTGCAAAGGCATTACACATACAAAAAGAAAATCCTAAGCGTTTTCCTTATCTGTGATACAATCTTCCAAGTCTCCATATGTACGTTCAACTTGTTTGTATTTTTTCTTTTAAAGTTCTACATGCAGATGCTAAATGAAGGCTTCAGAAAGTTTAGCAGCATGCTTTCCTTTATGCTCAGATTACATAGTGGGAATAGTGGCATAAGCAAACAGGAAAAAGGGGAGATTTATTTGTTTGTTTTAAATCAAGATTGCCATTTGCCTCTTTAAGGCAGCAAGCTCTCAACTGTGGATGGTTTAATGGAAGTCAATCCTGTCATCAAAAAGAATCTCATTTTTGTGTCACTTCTTTTTTTCCAATCAGTTTTAAGTTTCAACTGTTTTTATACATAATAAGACTGTCCATGTGTCCAGGATGCTCCGTATTCTGACCGATCTCACCCCTCCGCTCTCACTGCTCACTGCACTGAAAAACCAAGTGAAGCACGCCCTTGCTTTCAGTCTGGAACAGTTGACCCGTGCCTATCAAAAACGTAACATTCTGACCTGACGTGTCCCAAATATGCCCAAAGCAGCTGAACCGGGCTGAGCTGAGCTTCTCCTGTCTGGCAGCAGTGGAGAAGCTGGTTCAGGCAGGAGTTCTGAGGGGAGCACTGTCCAGAAGCAGCCTCCAAGAGGAGACCCACTGAGCTGCTGGCTCGTGCCGGGGCTGTGCCCAGAGCCTCCACCTCCTGCGTCCCAAGGACAGCGTGCCAGGAGGGCTGCAGGCAGCAAGTGTGGCTCCTGAGGACACTGAGCCCTCTGAGAAATTCCTCTGTGTTTCACAGAGTTTCAGCAAGGCGACAAGTCTGAGATAAGATGGAAATCTTGCAGGAACAAGCTTGTTGCACCTTTCTGCCCTGGGGAGCTGCTTTCCTGGGCTGGGCAATAAGCAGAGTTTGAGATATGGGGCTCTTCTGTCTCGGGGAGAAAGTGTTCAGGACAGGCTTACTGTGTGTATGAATACAGCGCAAGAGGCAATAGGCACAAACTGAAACACGGGAGGCTCCTTCTGAACATAAGGAAACAATTTTTTGCTGTGAGGGTGGTTGAACACTGACAGAGGTTACCCAGAGAGCTTGTGAAGTCTCCATCTGTGGAGATACAACTCAACTGGACGTGGTCCTGGGCAGCCTGTTCTCTCTGCCCCTGCCTGAGCAGGAGGGTTATGCTGGGCAACATCTGGCAGAGGTCCCAGTCAGCCACAGGTATTCTGCAATCCTAGCTATGATTCTGTGGAAATAGTGGTAAGGTCATCTGTAAGCTTGGAAAAAAAAAAAAAGACTGTAATGAGCTGAGAAAGTCTTCCTGGAAGCATATTTAATTTGCACTTAGTCTGTTAGCTACTAACAGTGCTGTGATAAATTCTTTCAATTCAGAGACAAAGTGACAGTTCTTACCCTTCCCTGCCATTCTTACTGCCCACATGACTACACTGACTTCTGTCGGCCTCAGGACATCCCCTGTCTTTGTCAGAGCTGTTGCCTGCCTGGATAGATGTTTTATTTAGGATTGTAAATATTTTCTTTTCACTTTTCCTGTTTTCAAAGGATACTATTATTATTCTACCAAGGAAAGCTTAGAAACAGCATTCATATTGTTTGTAAGAAGACAGAAGTGTTAGATAAATCCTGCAGCTTGGATTAAGAAAATCAAGGGAAATGTTTATTTGTTTGTTTGTTTGTTTGTTTGTATAACACATGGATTTTGACCAATTCACCACCTGTACAAAGGGAGCACAAATTGCTCATAAATGTATCAGTAAAAAATCAGAAATCTTGTGAAGCCGTTTCTCAAAATGGGACATTCTCACAGAAAAGCAGCAGTAGCAGAGGATAAATGAATAAGCCAAACTTTTTCTTTTTTTTTTTCTAAAATGCTGTTATCATGAATCATAAAATAATTTTGGTTGGAAGAAACCGTGGAAGGCAATCTGGCAACCCCTGCGCAAAGTGAGGGAACTCTGACAATAGATCAGGTTTCAGTGTCTCCAAGGATGGCAGCAGATGAAGTCTGCCAACCCCCACAGCATTTACCTTCGCTTGTTTCCAACAAAGCTGCCATATGAACCCCTGTAGCCTACATTTATTCAGAATGTCAGTAACAACAGCAATAAAGAGGCACCTTCTCGTTATTAACTGTATTAGCTGCTAACCGATGTATTTGAGTGAAGCTGTGGGTGTGAATCCAAGAACACTGCAGGCTCTCAGCAAGGAGCAGCTGGCAGCTTGGGATCAGAACGCTACACATCTTTTTCTGGCAACTTTTCCCACTGATTCTTCAACATGACACACTGCAGTGTGGAACAGGCCGAATTGCACCACACTAATTTATTTGCTTCTTACACAGACTCAAATGATGCACAGAGACACACCAAAACACATTTCAAAGACTGACCTCTGCAGATCTGCTGAATTATTGTGTTGTCAGTGTGATGGCCGTAGATATTTTCACAGTTAGGAAAGCATGACATAGAGTTCCACATTTCCCAAATATAAAAAAGTAAATATGTCACTGCTCTACAGATGCAGAATTTCTTTGCTGTGAGAGCAGTGAGGTGCTGGAACAGCTGCCCAGAGAGGCTGTGATGCCCCGTCCATCCCTGGAGGTGTTCAAGGCCAGGTTGGATGGGGCCCTGGGCAGCCTGGGCTGCTGTGAGATGTGGAGGTTGGTGGCCCTGCCTGCGGGCGGGTTGCAGCTTCATCATCTTTGAGGTCCCTTCCAACCCAGGCCATTCTGTGATTCTGAACACAAATCCATTTCTAAGTCATCACTGCTGTGTTTTCCAGCAGTCTTTCTCAGGATTTCTGAATTATCTCAGCAGCCTTTCCTTCTATTTCTAAGTGGATCCTGACCTTCACTAACTAAAAGTTGAAGAACAATACACTGATATTTCTTCTAGCGCATGCTGTACCCACAAGATTCAGTTCAAATTAACATTTCCTAAGTTAGGTTTGTATGTAACACTGTATTCATTACTACTAAGGAAGTCAGTCTAAAGGTCTGGAAAAAAACCAAACACGTTTCCCTGATCATAGTCCTCCATTTGGCTCACTATTTAAGTTTCTGTAACTATTTTCAAAAGGTACAGACTCATTTGCTCACCAGCATATTCAAGTATTCAGCATCAATGAAGTCTTTGGGTGGAGAGAACAAGTGGCGCAATAGAGTGCATCTGACACTAAAGCAGCAGCATTCTACTCTCCTGAGTAAAACAGAGCTGTATTGCAGTGTTCTGATATCACAAGGAAACTGCTACCAGCTCAATTTAAGCTCCTTATTCTGTGTGTACCAGTGCACCTTTGAGAAAGAAAGTAAGAGGGGAAAAAAAGACCACAGAACAGGACAAGACAAGAAAATTTCACTCGCTCGTGTACTGGAAGACTACAACCATCACAGATTTCAAGTCACATGTCTTCAAGGCCAGTCCTCCCTTGACAGCAGCCACTGCTTTCTGCAAGGGAAAATCAGCATGTTATGTGATGAGGAAAGGCACTGCCTTCCTCAAGGACCAATTTGGCACAGCGGGGAAGGTAGCTAAGGCAATATGCATCTCAAAGCGGGGGGAAAATTAAAGGCAGGAAGAGCACCAGTGGATTTGGAAGGGAATGTAGGAAAGGAAAGTAGCACTAGTAACCAGAGGAGGATAACAACAATAAGGACTGCAAATAAGGAAAAGCAAGTGGATTTGAGGAGAAAAAATAAAAAATAATTAAAAAAAAAAAAAAAAAGGGGAGAAAAAGCACCATAACAGAAAAGCTAAGGACATGATTGCATTATTAGATGGACATCAACTAAGTAGCAAGGGAAAGTCACCTTGTCTGCATACACTGACTGAAGTTTTTTCAACAATGCAAGTAAAAGAAAATTTCTATTCTTCCCACTGATCACAGGTCAGAACCCCAGCCTCCTCACACATCGCATCAGAGTTCAGTCTGCTCCTCCCCAGCTCAGTGCCAAGGCCATGCAGCTCTGCAGGCTCTGTGCTACTATGAAGGAGCCCAGCCAGGCTCACTCGCCAGCCCAGGGGGTGCACCTGACTTACAGTGATAGAATGCTGCCCCCAGTGTTGCTCCTCTCCGGCCCAACAAATACCCATGCTTGCTGTTACTGCTCGAGTGAATAGGGCTGCAGGAGCTGCAGTCCCACCAGCATAGGAACATCACTGCTCATCCTCCTTCGCAGAGAGATTAAATGAAAGTTGCTGAAAAATTCATTCAGCCTTCCCTCCTTTCCTCCCTGGTGCCCCAGGATACCAATCTCACAAACAATCATCTTCTTCAGGCAACTCCTCTGGGGCTGGGAGAAGGCAGAACGGCGTTTCCCTACTGGCTTTTCCAAGGACAGCATCAACACTGGGAGAAGCCCAGGAGACAGCTGAGCCCTTCTTCCATAGCAGTGATAGTATACATTAACTGGACAGCAAGTGGTCTCTCATCCTGTGGAATTACTGCTTCTTTGTGCAACGCTGTTGTACCAAGAGGTGACACGCATGTAGAGAAGCTTACACCTGCACATCAGGTACGTGCAGGAGGATTACAGTGCTCCTGCTCTTACGGAGGGCCCAGACTTCATCCCTCACCTCTGACCGCTGCACAAGGGTGAATAAAAGAAACTGCTTCTGCACCAGCATGCCCGTTCTCTCAGTGCAACCCCACCAAGAAATGGAAGGATGGATTCATGCCTTCCTGACCCAGGGCTCAGCACAGCCATCTGCACAGGGGCGCTCACACAGTGTGCAGCGATCCGAGCAGGCAGGGCAGCGCACTGCGCCACGCCACAGCAGCCCTGCAGCAGGGCACAGCACAGCCACGCAGCGGCACGGTGAGACCTCTGCCAGCCATCCGTCTGCCTCTGCAGCTATTCAATTTTACTGACTGACCTCACATAGCTGAGAACAAAAACCACTAAACTAAGAACACATCAAAAGCTGTGGGAAATTCCCTTCACAGCTGGCTGCTGACAGAGCTGCAGAACTGTCCCCAGAAAGGTTCGCAGGCTTGAGGAGAGGCTAATGTGTGCATAAAGTATCTGTTGAACCATCCTTTTCTTCTTGGCCTATTGTTTTTCCACAACACCAACTCACAGTCCCTGTCTAAGTGTGCATTTAATCCAAAACCCAGTAGTCAAAACATAAATAAACAACCCCTTACGTAAACCAAATAAAACCGCTGAAAGTTGATGCACGAATTACAATTTTTTTCTTCTGTCTTGCTTACTCCTTCAAACCAAAACTCCCATTAACTCCCAGGACCTTCTCTCAGCGGTTCCAGGTGTGAGAGGTGCACCTCAGGACATCCCTCTCTGATCCCTGCCCTGTGCAGCACTGCGGGGGCAGCCCTTTGTTCTCTCCTTGCCTGCGTCTCAGCCTCCCCTCTCACTGCAGAACACATAATCGTAACAGACACCATATCACTAATAACGGATACTGCATATAAAGAGACACAAAGTGGAGGTAATCATGGTTTTACAGGTTCACTAGGATTTTTGTCTTGGTGGTCCACTCGATCACACATCTTTGAAGGATAACAGTAAAGGGCCTTGAGTGTGAAAAGGACTCCAGTCAAGGGGAAACCCGAGCCCCCTTGCTGCCTGCCCTGTGATTTCTGTGATTGATTATACATATCCTCCTCTCAGTTTTAAGCTATTCTTCGTTTATTTCATTTGCAACCTTTCTAAGCCTTTTCCTGATAATCATTTTATTCCTTGGTCTTCCTTTCATTTGGTGACAGCTGACCTGGCAGCAAGCCCAAAACATGGTAAATGACAAATCACTACCAGATGAAGCTCTGAGCTTTACACAGAGCATTTCCCCCGGCCACAGAAAACTTTGAGGCCCAATAAAATTACAAAAGAGACTGAGAATTACACCAAGATCAAGCTTTATATGAAATCTTCAGTTACAGGAAAGTATACTAATTCTCCAAGTTCTGAACCAAGTAAACTGGGTTAATGAAATTTTATATAAGCTATAGTTTTAGGAAGAGTGACGGGAATGCAGATCCTCAGCAACACCTCACTCAGGGTCTGAGACTTGCAGTCATACCTGGGAACAGGAGAAGTCCTTTGTTCCCCCTGGCAAACAGCAGCCGCAGCCACAAGCGCCCCCTGAGAAGCCTGGCTGCTCCGTGCTGCCACAGGACCGTGCCACATTAGCTCCCGTCCGTGGCACTCGGAGGGGGGGCTGCTTTCAAGCACTGCCACAGAATTTGCCTGCAATGCAGCATCTTGGGCGACGGAAGAAAGGGAAGAAAGCAATACCAGAACTAACTGCTGCTAACAACTGCATCGGCTCCTTCTCTGAAGAGTGAATTTCCCCTACGAGGTGAAAGAAAGAAGCAAAGAAGTCACGGTCAGGAGAGAAGATTCTTCTCCTGAGCACCCACGAAGTCAGCACTGAAGCCAAGAGGCTCTGAAATGGGAACATTTTCCTGAGCCTTTTTTCACCCTCCCAGTGCTGATGCCACAGAACAGTGCATTTGTTACTCAAAGTTACCAGACAGGAATTGAGATACTCCTTTTTGCAACAAGGCCTCCTCGTTTTTCCTAGATAGATATTTATAGGCATTTATAGTGCCCTTGGAGTTCATGCATACAGTTACAGCTCTTTATCTAACTGTGTAGAGGTCTAAGTATCTGGGTATAGTGATTTTATTGGAGATACAGAATGATAAAGTGTATGTAAACTGAAACCATTCTGACTCACATAATGCAGGCTAAACAATGCCTGGCTGCAGACACAGCCAAAAGACATAAAGTGAGGCCAGCAGAGTCCTAAGGAGAGAAAACCCTCCTGAGACACACTCCTCAGAAATGCTCAAGATGAATGATACAGCCACGCAATGAATGCTTAAAAGTAAAATCAAGGGGAAAAGACTCTGTAACAAAGTGTTGTTTGGCTGTAGTTCTGTGTATTCCAGATGAAAAACATCTTGTTTTTCATAACTGCTGGGAAACCACTCCCTTAAGAGGGGTGTTGTTTGATTTCGTGAGAAAATTTGTAAGATATTGAACAGTCATGTATACAAACATGGAATATACAGCACAGGACAGACACAATTAGCTGCCTCCGAATGCAGCCCTCATTCACCAAGGACTTCATTTGGCATTCATAGGGTATGGTTATGAGAATTTGTCACCACCAACTAAGCTAGCACACATTCAGTCATGCTTGTCTCTGAGGTGCAGTGGGAGTGAGCGGTGCTGGGATCACCAAGCTGCACCCTGCAGGCAGCACATTCCCACATCTCCACACCAGTTCTGTTGCTGCAGTGCACCAACGGGGAGCAGGAAGGCTGGCTTTGTGCTGCATGCCCACCACAGCCCGGAGTGTTGTGCAGCCAGACAGCACTGCTTTGTCTGCTGTAAAAAATACTTAAGGAGATCACATGCAGTTATTCCAAGAATAATTAAACTTGACTGCTTTATGATTTATTTTTTTTCTCTTCAAATAGGCCAGAACCCTGGGTTCAGTGTCACAAACCTGCCACAGTCTGTGCATCTCCATTGGCTCAGCCCAGGGCCATCAAGAGCAACCTGGTAACAGGACAAACACCAGGACAAGCACCAGGCCCATTCAAAGGGGTTGCTGCTGAGCAAGAAACCAGTGGAAATAACCATGAATGCTGAACTTTGGTGAGGTGTTCGCTTCTCACCACTGGAGAGGCCATTTTTTTCTGCGCGCGTTTTTCTTTCTTCCAGCAGTTTTGAAGTCACCTGAGAGATAATTACACTGCACCCCCTCAGCCTTCTCAGCTTGCAGATTCATGCCCCTCCTCAGCAGGCCCAGCCAACAGGACTGGACAGGAGGGGTGACGGGGAGCCCTGCGCAGCATCCTCTGTCCTGGGCATCACCGCTGTAACAGTCACAGGGGCATCCACCACCTCTGAGCACACAGGACAGGGGAGCACAGACTGAAATTGCAGCAAGCTGTAGGTGGAGGTGAGGGGAACTTCAAAGGGTCAAAGCTAGACAATACCTTCCTGTCTTGGGGAAGTGCACTTAGTTTGGTAGAGGAGAGAGGAGGGAGGCCCTGTCAGCCTTCATTGCCGAAAGGTAATGGTACACAGTAATTTCTTCTGATAATGTCACCAGAAGAGGAAGTAATGCAGACTAAACTCATTAAGGTCTGAGGGGAACATCATGAGGGGCTCTCTTTCTGCAGGAAGGAGGACCACAGCCTGAGCTGTCTGAATGGGGGAGCATCTGTTGTGGCACAGACCGAAAGCTATCAGGGGTTCCCTTTTTTTACATATTTTAGTTCCTAAAGTCAAACTTCTCACTTTTCAGACTAAAATGATCTGTACTTCCAAAGAGAAAATTAAAAAAATTAAAAAAAAAAAAAAAAAAAAAAAAAGGAAAAGAAGCTGGCACATCAAGTTTAAAGCTGATACTTTCAGTATTTTGGAGGCATTTGAACAACTCACCTTCGTCGGTGTGGTTGTAGCAAGCAGCCCAGTAAGACATCACATTTCCGTAAGTGCTTGCTCCAGAGGCCATTAAATGTAATGTAGATATTTCCATTGGCTTTGCATCAAGACCAGTACTGCTTTGATTCAGAGGCTTTCCAAGTGCTCTGTGTGCAGTGGTGGAATAGTCCCCAGCAGGCTCCCACCAGAGGGTGCATCGTCTGCCAAAAATAAGCGGCTCTTCATGCAGGGCACCTGAAGCGTGCACAGATTTAACACCCAGCTCTCCCACCCTTCCTGTGCCTGCAGCACATCTCCCATGGCATGGGCAGGAGGTGGCACTGTGAGCAGGGCTGTGCCATTGGCACAGCAGCAGAGCTTTGCCTATGCACCTCCATAGAGAAACGGCCTTGGTTTCGGAAGAAAAGCAGTCTGATCTCTTCTATTGTACGTCAGCGGTACGACAGCTGAATGCACATAAATCTGGTATGGTTGGTGTTAAACCTGCTAGTCCTCCTGCAGAGGTTAACCTGAATATTTAAGATACAATTTGGTGTGTTTTCTCCACTTGGACAGCCGATAGAACTGCCCACAGCTCTGACCTGACCTCCCCCTCAACAGGGACAGCACTTGGCCTCAGCTCCTCTCCTGCTTAAGCAAAGCCATCCCCCCCCCCATCCCCCACAGCACGGCTGGATCCCACCCATGTTCAGGGAGACTCGTGCATGGAGCTTGAACCCCAAGCAGAAATCAATTGATAAGACAAACTGGGCTTTATCTCGAAACAAAAAATGTTGCGACTTCATGCCGGTGTCAGCTGGAAATGTTCTGATGGACAACCATGCCTCACGGCACACAGCCTGTCAAGCACACAACACCCTGGAAAAAACTTTAGTTTTAAAGTAAAGATGGTGATTAATCATTTCAGCTAAAACAAAGCATTCTATTTCTGCCTCTTTGGAAATACTTTTTTCAGTTTTTGAAACTAATGTTGCTCAATAGACTGTAAAATAAACTGCAAAATAAAGCTGTCAAAAAAAGAGAAACTTTTCAGTAAAGAGTTTTAGTTCTGTTAATCAGACTGCTCCATCCTTTTCTTTCTTTTTTTAAGAATTTGTGCTCATGGGAAAAGTAGGAGAAAAAAAAGTCTGTTTTGGAATGAAAGGCCAAAGTCATAAACTTCACTACAGAATGAAAAACACAATGCAAGCACTGCTGCACCATGGAGTGTTCGCCCGTATTTATGGATTATACCGCTTCACTCAGCATATCTAAAATATCATTGTAGCCATTCATTTTCAAACAAACATATGTATTTCATCTGTGTACAAGCATACTTCCATGAGAAACTGAAAATCCTCAGAGAGAAGACCAAATCTTGCAGTCATTATTCAGGCTGAAGGCGGCGGGCACTTTGACAGAGTGTGGAACAGGAGGTTTGTTACACGAACAACGCTGCAATTTTGGTTTTTAAACACAGAACATCCACGCTTGTCATCACCAAATACGTAACTAGTTTTTGCATCCAAAAATGTAAATAACCCATTATGTGAAATAAACCATTTGTCTAAGGTGGCCTTTCTTAGGAATGAAAGATTTAATACTAAGAGGAATATAAACAATCTGACAACGCAGTCAATTGAATGGCCGTGACTCCAATTCGGGAGGTGTAGTTGAACTCCAAACCGGTCTGCTCCGTACAGAGCGAGTCAAAGAGCCTCAAAATGTCCTCGAGCCCGAGCTTGGCCTCGCCAAGTAAAACAGGCACCGTTTTCCTGCAGAACAGCGCTTTACACCCCCTGTAAAAACTGCAGAAGTGAAGATCTGTGGCGCAGTGTTCCCTGGCAGCAGCCGGCTTTGGCTCGCCATGGCCACAGGGCTCTGCAGGCGCCCAGCCGGGCAGCGCTGCAGGAGGGGCTGCCGCCCCACAGAGCCCCCAGCAGCTCCTGCACAGAGCCCCCAGCAGCTCCTGCTCAGAACCCCCAGCAGCAGGCAGGGCAGCGCGGTGCGGAGCTCTGCACAGCCGGCTGCAGGGCGCCTCGGGCATGAGAGCGTGTTTTCCATTCGGAACTCTGGAACTGGATACTGCGCCAAACCTCCCATCGCCGAATAACTTGCCTACATGTGAGGCAAGTGGCTGAGCATCAGAAGCAGCCATCAAAGGTTCTGCAAGCTATTTACACAGGGACCTGCTAGCCTAGACAATGTCCTATGCCAAAGGCAGCGGGCCCGGGCTCGTCCCGTTTAAGTCAATAGATCCATTGTCTTTACCCAGAGCAGGATAAACTTCACACAGGGCCAACCTGGGCCTAAATTACATCTTTCAGATGCACACTGTGGATAGTTGAACTTCTACACGAGCAGCAAAGGCACCGCTGATGGGATCCATGGTTACAGATTGCAAGGCAGAGCTCTGGATGCACCATGAAAAGCTGACATGAAGCCTGCCCTTAAATACATGAGTGTTTACACAATCTATCCATAGGAATGTTTGTTAGCACTGCAAACTGTATGCATATAACCTTAAAATAACCTCTTCCTCCAGTGCCCTTTTGCAGAGGAAGATATTACACCCCTTAACTGGATACACTGCTCTTCCAGCACTTCCCTAAAGAATCTGTTTTGACGTGGGAATTTAAATGGAAGGAAGCACACACGTATGTAAGCCGGCACATATGTAAAGCATGACTTCTGTTCACTAAGCTGGACTAGTTCTGTTTTCTTCTTCCTTCTTGGTCATCTTTGAAGCATTTTGCTTTACAACCATTAGCTTGTGCTTCCGCCTGAATATCACGTCTCTTCTAAAAGAACAGAAGGCGATTTGCAGACAGACAAATCTTGCACCAGTATGGCCCACCGTCTCTCAGTGCAGGAATTCTGTGCTTCAGATGATCACGGAAATGATAAAAGCTCACCCCTCTATTGGGCCAAGACGAATGGAGTCTTCTTGCACATCCTTACTTGAACCTACCTAAAGACTAATGCACTTTGTGAGAGCATCTATCTCAACTGATCTTTAAAAGGATTAATTTGCTGTTGCCAATATATAGTGGTTCTCAGCAAGTGATGTGGAAGGAATTGCCTGCTACATTCCCCGTGGCAAAATGAGAGATTCTGTGGTCAGCAAAATCATGAAGGTACACTTGCAGAGCAGCTGTTCTTCCTTAACTGTTCTTATCACCATAACACAGGTGGTACTTAAACACAAGGGATAAAAACAGTCTGTTTGCCAAGTCAGATCACTGAAAACATACTTCCTTTGTTCTAGTTGTCACTTTCAGTAAAAAATACATCTCTACAAACTCTGAAAGGCAGCAGGAAAGAAGCACTAGAAAGGCAGTGCTAGATTCACTGAGCAGAACACCTCCAGTGACCCCAAGTACAGAAAAAGCAGGATCCAGGAATATATGGAATGTTGCTTTTTAAGGATGATCCTGAGAATCAATTATGTTTCTTCTACACACCTCTTTCTAAGTACATGTTTTTGAACTCCAATAAAAATGTTATTGTGTTTGAGGTTTCAATCAGATAATTAGTGACAGAAAATTATAGCTGCTCATCCCACTTTGATCTGTTTTGCCGACCGTGTAAAATAAGTATGTAAAACTCAGCCAAGCTGTTGTAAGTCCTCTCTTCAGATCCTAATCACGAATTGCTACATCCAGATAAAAAACCACATCCAGATAAAATTGCTACATCCAGATAAGACATTTTCTCTGCCATGAGCTGAGAAAGATGCAGAGCAGAGTCCCCACAAACTCCAGCGGAGATCAATTAAATGTGTGCACAACAGCTAGAAGTTGGAGGCTCCGAATCTTTGTTAGACTTGAGATTAGCCCCACCTGCGCTCGTATCCAGGGCGGTGTAACTGCCTACACGCGTCCACATGTCTGCCACCAGTCACAGTGCGAGTCCTGGCCTGGAAGCCATGCCCCTGCTACAGAGCAGAAGGGAAATGCAGCGTGGAGCAGAGAGTCTGCTGGATGGTCCGGGTGCCTTCGCACCACCAGGTGTGGTTCATGTGTCTCTCCTCTCACCTGGCCTTTTCCTGAGTGGTGCCCAGCTTCTTCGCCAGCATGATAAGCCTGTCACCCTGAGCAAGCACACGTGAACCCACACAGCATGGCTGCTCCTGCAGCCTAACAAGAGCTGAGCCTGCAGCTGCATGCAGTGCACATGCAAGGGAGGAAACCTGAGAAAGGCAACCTGCCACGTAGCCACTGATCTTCAGCCAGTCTGATAGCTGAACACCAAACAGCAAAGGCCGCTACACAGGGATGCACCAGAGAAGCAGCCAAAATTAACCTCCACACTTCAGATGGCCAATGATGGCATAAATCAAGAAGCACTGCAGGGAGAGCTCCTAACGATATGCAGGACAGCAGGCAGAGAGCACAGCACCTTGTTTGTCATTTTGGCAAGCATACCAGTGAGCTGTAGCCACTCAAGAAGTGTTGCTATGGACTGGACCAGTCGCATCTTGCTGGAAGGTTGAGTCCTAACTGGTGCCTCCAGCTGTTCTAGGAGATGTATTTGTGGTTAGGAGGCACGACACGTTCAATCATTTCATGTATCTGCTGCACCAGTCATTCTAAACCTACTTCATTATTCATTTATCATGGGAAGGAGTCCTTCATTATTTCACCTTTGTTCATCTCTCAGTATAAGAGATGCCTGGCCAAACACCATTCTTCTTGTACAAAACATCTACTTATAGCTACCATAGCCAAACAACACCTCTGTAACTTCTAGCACTGAATAGAATCCGTATGTTCTCCTTTTGTGCCTCTGCAGAGATTGAGCTGAGATGCTTGCTATGGGATCCTGCATACCACAATTTACATTGCCACGGAGACATAAAGGAGCACCATATGCCCTGGCCTGTTCCTACACGAAAACATGATTTGGGGTATGATCAGTTACCCTCATGAAAATCCCCCAAGTCCCAGCGTGAACTGCAGATACACCAGATGGGATGCAGCAAAGACGGGGTAAATGTAATTTCTACTTCTGAACCATGATCTTGTCTTACCAGGAAACCCAGGCTCCCAAAATAACAGTGCAAAGCAGGAGTGGATACATAGCAAAAACCACTGCAGAGCATAAACAGTAAAATAGAACAGAAAGGATCCACATCTCCCCTCTCTGCTCACAGCCACGTGGGAGGCAAAAGCAAATAGACCTTGGCAAGAGCACGGCTGGCGTGAGCCGCGCAGGGCAGATCGGCTTTCACGCACTCATCTTTCCACTTGACCGTGAACTTCAGCCCTGGCTGGGCTCTACATTCTGGGACCCTCCAGCAGTTAGGAGCAGGACGATACGAAGTCCACAGTTCCACGTTCCTCTGGCATGGTGTGCTGAGCACAGACCCACCGAGTTTTCCATTTTGTAACCTTGCCACTGAATGCTATCAGGGGCCATCTGCTGATAATCTAAGTATCTGAGTGTGCGCAACACGGCAGCAGCATGGCAGCAATATTGCAAGCTGTATAACCCTAACTGCACGTCAGCGCTCCACCAGTTCTGTTTTCTTTCATCCCATAATTTCCTCTCTCCTCAAAAATTAGATAAATAGTTCTTCTGCTCAAGCATCAACATTCAGATGGTATTAAAGAACAGCAAAACATGAGACAGTGAAGTGCTGCTTTGTGTTACAGTCTTGTCTAGGTAACCAGCCAGAGCTGACTCATTTTTGAATGTTTATTGGCAGTGATTGAAACAGTTGCCTTTGAGATCTCCAGTGATTCCCTCTTCCCCTCTCTTCTCCTCATAACCCAAATGGAAGTAATGAAAAGGCTATTAGGTTATCAGTAAAACGCTATCTTTTGTCAAACTTTCCCTGTGGGGCTCAAGGCATAATGAGAGCATAACGTGAGAGCGCGATGGCTCTTGGGCCCTGCAAAGCAGACTGTTCTGTGCAGAGCAGTGAGGACAACTCCTGCAACAACATGTATGTGAGCAATGAACTTAAGGTAATGCATGCAAAGTAAAATGCACTGTAAGTTATCAATCTGTTCTGCAACTTTTTCTATAACTTATGCTCTGTAAAACTCTTCTTTCAGTAGCAGAATAGCCAGAGGTCCTGCTGGTCACATCACGAACAGGGCTGGATCCAGATCCCTCAACGTCAGAGCTGCAGTGTGCTCACAGATGCACAAGGCACTGAGCAGTGTGCTTTTGTGTAAATGAATATTCGATCTCAGAAAACTTCTACAAACAAGCAGGTGGACAAAAGGACTGTGTTAAACCTAGCTGACATTTCCCACACCATGCCCTCTGCACAGAAGTACCAAGCACAGAATTCAACAAAAGTAAATGTCTGGGCTGAAACACTATCTGCACATTTAATTCTCCTCTACAGCAACATCACACTGGCACTAAGTAAAATTTCCCCCATTTCCCCTATCACATGTCAGTCAAGGGTTAGATAAAAGAGCAATGAGGTCCCTTATTTCTGCTTATGACACCAACTGAACACCTGCAGCTGCATTTTCAAAATAACTTTATTTCAGAGCATTGCAGTAGCACTTTGTACGTTCTGGTCATAAAATTATAAATCTTGTGTGAGCCTTGATTTCTTGTTCATACATATTTGCAAATATTCTGGCAACTGTAACCTGTGGGTAGGAAACTGGGATCTGGAGATCCTCTGTGGTTTTCAGATCTGGTACAAATTAATCACCTTTTCCATGAGCTTCCTTCCCAGCTTGACAATTCAGAAAACAGAACACCTCCAGCTAGGGATGCCCAAATGTGCTTCTTTTGACAGCCGTTTTCATTTTAATTCGCATACAGGGAGCACTTTATCAGTCTACAAAGTAAGAAACTAGCCGGGGAAAATTATGAAAGCCTACATTGTGAAAAGAAGTGAATCTGTCCTTTAATTCACACGGCAAGGAAGAGTTCCTTGTAGTGACACCTCACCAGAAAGTCCCAACACAAAGTCTGAGAGCCTTTCTCAGCCTCAGAGGTAACACTGTTACCTGATTCCTGTTTTCTACCAAGCCAAGCACTACTTGAGGCAAAGCCCCCCGAACATCTGCAGTTGAGCTCCAGGGAAAAAAAAAAATAAAAGATGAAATCTGTGAATAATTAGCAACTTAGAAATCCCTGACTAAATGTCAAGCAAAAGCAAGCACACTTCAAGAGTTCTGTTGTGCTCAGAGTATGGTACGTGTGAGAAGATGGGACTAAGGATCACACCGTGCATGCTGCTTGCCAAAGCACGGCCTTCAACGTTGGAAAGGGAAGGGATGTCATCCCGAGGCAGCAAATGTAGCTTTTCTCTGAAAAGCATTTGTTGGCGTGTAAGGGAGGGAACCTTTCATTCGTTGAAACGAGTAACTTCCGATTCCTGCCCTGAGTTGCGCTTGGCATTCGGTGGTACGACTCAGATGAAGGAAAGTCCTGTGAAAGACAAAGGCAGGCGCCTGCTCTGCAAGCGAGCTCACGCGAGGAGACCCGCAGACGCGATTCTCTTGCCCGTAATTTGTATTTGCCCCTGTGCTCACTCTAGGACCTCTCCTTTCTGGGAGCTGTTACAGGGGGGGCGTTCGCCTGTCGGAAAGCCGCAGTCCGGGTCCCGCCGCCCTGGGAGCTCCCGGAGGCTGGAAGCACCGACCTCGGTCCTAGGCGCCAGGGGAGCCCGGGACCGTCCCGCACCGCCCTCCCCACGCCCTCTCTCGCCCGACGGCTCGATCTCGGAGCCAGCAGGAAGTTTCAATTCAACAGCCTCGTCTCCAAATGTTTTTCTTTGCCATCTCAATTGTTTCAGCGCTCTTTCCCTCCAGCCTCCGCCCGCGGCGGCCGCTGCCAACTCGTACGCAGAGCGCGGCGCGACCCGCGGGGCCGGGGCAGCCCGACGGCGAAGAACGGAGCGCAGCCGCGGAGCCCCGCGCTCCCCTCCGGCCGGTCACCGCGCGCCTGCGGCGCTGAGCGGCGGCTCGGGTCGGCGGACCGAACCCGTCCTCCGTCGGACGTTCCGCAGAGGCCGGGGCGGGGAAGGGACGACGCGGCCGCCCCTCCGCGGCCCGGCAAAAGGCGCCCAGCGGAAAAAAAAAAAAAGCGCTTTGTCCTCACCGGCGGTGACTGAAGCTGCTGTGCGAGACGCTGCGGCGGCCCCCCGCCGCCCCCCGATTCCATCTGACGGCTCAGGTCTGCTGCCACAGAGCAGTGTTTATTCAGTGCGTAAACAAAAGTGAAAGGAATTAAGCGGGCAGATCCGACAGCCCAGAGAAACGTTTCGGGCCCTTCAGCGTGGAGTTACCGCACTCTTAGAGAAGAGGACGTTCCTACAACGGAAAGCAGGCAGTAAGTTTTGTAGCCGTGTATTTCTGAACATCGTCGATGCTTTCCGTCTTGGTTCTGCTAAGGGCGAAATGCTCTTTCATAACTCGACTGCTGCTTTATTTTCGTCTGCCCACAACACTTTCTCTGTCTGCATGACAGTATGGTACAACTAGCACAGATGTTTACAAACTCGAAAAGTCAACTTCTATGTAAAGTTTTCACCAAAGCGTCAGGAACACGTAGACACAGCACTCCACTCGAACATGCACAAGTTTCACATACTTGTTCACCGTGCAGGGACCAAGAAGTGCAACAAAGAGTAAAAAGGGCAAAATTACTGCCCTTATTCTCTAGGGCGCTGAAATGACTCTGCACTTCCTCCTGCAGTGCAAGGGCCACTGCCCTTAAAAAATGCAGGGCTGTACCCCACTAACACTCTACTTGTCCTTTGCCTCCTCTGCCCTTACACCTCCTGCAAAGTAAAGAATAAAAACGTACACTGTGTGAGGTTCTGAACTTTGGTGAGGGAGCCGCTGTCTCACACATCCAAGTCGGACACAGAAACTTTTCCCTCAGACCCATCTGGCCATTCCCAACCAAGAGACACAGAGCTCCACGCTGGAATAGTCATGAGCAAAAGATAGAGAAAATGCTGGACCCAAGAGCTGGAGACAAACGGCCCTGCCCAAGGAAAGTGCGTTACACAGGTATGGAAAACAAGTTACGGGTAAGAGACTGACTCGATTGGTTTACTTCTCTGCAGCTTTCACCAGAGGCTGGAGCCAGGGGGAGTGAGAACTCACAAAGAGAAAGCCCAAGTGTGCTGGCTTCACTTCGTTGCCTGACTTCCGCCACAGAGCCGCCGCCAATCCATCCCCACACCCCCATCCCCCCGAGATCAGGATGCTGAGACCTAGAGATGAAAAGCCTCCAGATACCCATAGGTGGGCAAATGTTAAAGCATGAGAAAGAGAATGCCTGAGACAGGAAAGGCAACGTGCATGGAAGTCAATGTTGTCCCCACAGTTATCAGCTCCGCATTTTAACCCATCTCTCCTTTCCAGACAGCTTGCTGGCCAAGAAAGGGACCGCGTGGACCTGGGCTGCACAAAGAGCGGACCGCACGGAGTCACGGCAGCGTCTGCTGGCGGTCCTCGCCTTGCCCTCGGGGGGCGCGGGGACCCCCGCGGGACATAAACGAGAGGGGAGATGAGGGTGCGAGACGGGGCTGCGCAGAGGAAGCTCATTTCCATCCCGCAGGGCGGACCGCGTTCCCCTCGGCAGCGATGTGAAACACCGCGAGCGGAGCGCCGCTCGCCTCCGCAGCCCCGCGCTCAGCCCAAACCCGCCGCACCTCCCCGGGTCCGGCTGTGGTGGAGGCGCGGGTGGGCCAGAGCCTTCGGCCGTTGTTCCGGGGACACCCAGAGCGGTGGGCGACGACAGCGGGCCGAGCCCGGCAGGGCAATCGGAAGCGGCAGCTCAGATTGTCCACAGTTTGGTGTCGGTGTCAGCTTTTTGCAAACAGACCGCGGTGCCACGTTTAATTTCTCAGCAGCCCGTTCGTTTTCGCTGTGAATACGTTTTGCCGGAGCTCCCTTCAGAGACAGGCGTCCCGCCGCGCGCAGTGCTCCGCGGTGCTTTTTTTGCTCGAGAAGCCCAATGCCAACACCCTCTCGTTACAACTCTTGCTGTCCGCGCTCAGCCCCGTGCCCTGCCGTCACATATTTAAAAGATCTCACCTGCGCGCAGATGATTAGCATTTCCTCCATCTGTCCTTGCATTACTTCTCAGAGGAACAGATGAGGTCCCCCATCGGAGGGTCCTCCGCGCACGGAACTCCGCGCTCCCACCCAGGTTCTCCGCAGCGCTCTCAGTCCCGACGGGACGAGGCCGAGCACGGGCCCCCCCCAGACCGCCCCCGGCAGCTCCGCTCCCCTCGGCCCGCTGCTCCCTGCCGCTAAGTTCTGTGCGGCCGCCTGCATTCACCTCCTCAAAAACGATGCTACGCTAGCGATACTTACTAATATTCCGAGAGCGGGTAACCGAAGCGAAGAAGTTTAGACAGGACTTTGAGGAAATAGCCGAGCTTCACTGTCTCCGCCTGAGGTCCCGAGGCGCGTCGTCTTCGCGTCCCTCGGTGGCTTCGCGTCCCCGGGGCCGCCGATCTCCTGGCCGCGGGATCGGCCCCGGCCGGACCCAGAGCGCCGCGCGGGACCGACGCGGCCGCGGGAACGGAGCAGAGCGCGGGTGGGGCCGCGGGGAGCCGCGCGGGACGGGCCGAGGGGCGCGGTGCAGTCGCGGCCGCGTGCACCGAGAACGAGAAGAAACACCGATAAATCTGCCGTGCGTTTTTTTTTCCTTCCTCCAGCACACATCTTATGAATGACTGCTGCGCGTTTTGCTATCGCTGCGGGGAACAACGCGCGAAAGGATTTTGTTGGCTCCTGACGCTGTGTTTATCAGAGATTAAAGGTGCGCGTGCAGGAAGGCGCTGCTTCACAGAAATCCAAAACGCAGCCTTTCGTGAAGCGCACACCAACACTGTGCAGTAAACTCGTTAGTACCGAGGGGAAAGCATCGAAGGCGCAACGAAGGGCGCTGCAGGGGCCCCCGGCCTCCTCCACGGCTCTCTGCCTCTGGTTTCTCCACGTCGCATCTCTCTGGCGACCCCCAGGGCAGGTGCCGCTTTTCCGCGGTGCCATCTGGAACAGGCGATAGCTGTCGTGCCGTGCCTCGGGATTTATCTGACGGGGAAGGTCAGGCGGTCAGGACGAACGGAGAGAGATTCTCCGCCGCTCGCCTCCTGCAGCGGCACTCCCGGCCGCGTTTCGACGACGGGGGCCGTAGCCGTTCCCTCCCCTCCGCGATCCGCTCGGCGCCGTGGGCGTGCAGGTACCCGGGCGGGGAGACGCCCGAAAGCCGCTCCTAGGTGTGCGCGGAGGGCCGCGGGACCGCTCGGGGATCGGAGGCGCTCCGGACCGCCCCGCCCGTCGGGGCGCAGAGTTCCCCTGGGGCGGGGAGCACGGAGGGGGGGGGGAAGGGGGGCACGGCGGGACGCAGCGCTCCCGCTGCCCACCGCGGCCGGACGGCTTCCACCGCACCGTCCCGAACTTCGCTGCGCTTAGAGCGAAGCACCACGTCCCCCAGCGTCCCGGCTACGTTACTGGGCGGCAGCTGTTGGGGTCCTAAGGGTGATTTAAGTGAGATTCTTTCCGGGCCGAGTGGTTAGAACGCCGCGCAAGCGAGCGGGGTGTAGCGGTACGTGGGGCTCCGTCCCAGTCTCGGACCCCAAACCCGAAAGAAAGGCGAAAGGGGAGTGAGGAGTATGGGGTTCATCCTTTCTTACAGCACCTCAAAAACTGAATTCCCTTTTCTCAAACTCAGAGCAATACCGCATAGCGGCAGCTCTCTCCGATCACCTTGTAGAAAATCCACCATCTGTCATCAGAGTAGGCTCGCAAAGAGAGGTGCACAGGTTGGGGATGTAACGGCAGGTTTAATTAGCGTCACCTGCTCAGCACGCGCGGAGCAGCAGTCCGCGTCTATCGCCGCCACCTGCTGCGGGTGGGCTGCTCGTTCTGCACCGTCCCGAGCGCGGCAGTAGTCGGGGAAACTCTGGGAGGAGCGTTTGTAATCGTAGTAAAAACGCGCAAGTAACACAGGGAGTCCCTCCGTTAGGGGACGCGGCTGGGTTTGTGGGAGTGCTGCGGGCGGGCGGCCCTGAGCAGCCTCCAAATGCAGCGCAGACGAACACACCGGTGATAATTAGCAACAGGCTGAGTTCAGAACTACGGCCTTTGGTCACCTCAGGTGTTCCTTCTTTAGCTTAACGAGAAAGGTTTCATAATGGAATCCGGGCGGCGTAGGCACGCGTGAACACGGCGCAGACGGCGCTTGGAGTGCGTGAGCCGCAGAGCTGTGCTCAGCTGCGGGGCTCGGAAAACCCCTCCCGCGCACCCGCACCGCTGCGTTCCTTCGCTGATGTGGAGGGAGATGCAGCTCGAATTTTTGTTTAGTCTCGGGGGGCTGGAGGCGGAGAAGCTGTGACAAACGACGAAGATAAACGGGGAGGGAAGGAGGGGGGAAAGAGGAGGAGTATGTGGTGTCCTTTGGGTTTTTTCTTTTTTCCTTGACGGTGCTCTTTGCTGTCTAACAGCTCCGGTGCGGGTTCGCTGCCGCGGCAGCGCTCGGAGGCGGGTTCTGCGCGGGAGGGCAGAGCAGGCAGGCGCGGAAGGCCGTCCTCGCGCGGCACGGCCCACCCCCTCACACACAAAACTTTTTTCTGGCAGGCGCCGAGGGCAGAGGCTCAGAGCGAGGTTCCCGGAGCAGCCTCGTGGCGCTCCGCCGCCCTTCGCGGAGCTGGTATGCGGTAGGGCCGGGCCATGTATTGGAAGAGCGACCCGATGTTCGTGTGCAGGCTGGAGGATAAGGACCTGCCCGCGCTCGGCGGCCCCTCGGAGAAGGTGAGCGGACGCGCGCCGCTGCCCAGTGCGGGACGGGACCCGGGCTGTGTGCTCCGCGGCCGCCGGCGGTTCCGCCTCTCCCCGCTCGGGTTCCTCGGCCTCCGCTCGGCGGACGAGCTCCGGCTCCCGCCGTGACCCACCCGCGGGGCTTCGGCGCGGCCCCGCAGGTGCTCGCGGTCGAACGGGTCGGGCCGGGCTGGGCTCCCCGCGGCGTTCCCCGCTTCTGCGCGAGGCCGGCGGCGGATCGCGCTCATAGAGCTCTCCGTGCGCTCCCCGCAGGAGAGCCCCGCGGCGGCCGACGAGGACTCCTGCTCTTCCTCCGCCGCCCTGTCGCCCTCCTCCTCGCCGCGGTCCATGGCCTCTGGCTCCGGCTGCGCCCCCAGCAAGTGCGTGTGCAGCAGCTGCGGCCTGGAGATCGTGGACAAGTACCTGCTGAAGGTAAGCGCGTCCCGACGGCCCCGCGCCTCTCCACCGCCGAGGCGGCCGTATCGGTCCCGCACCCCGAGAACCGCGCGGGGAGGGCGGAGCGCCGCGGCGGGCACCGCGACGTGCGGGGAGGGGAGAGCCGGGCCGCGGGGCTCCGGCGTCTCGCAGCCGTGCGGCGTCCTGCGCTTCTGACGGCCGATTTGAGTGCGGTGGTAAAACGCGATGGCGCTGCGGGCAGACGGCCGAGCTCTGAGCAGTCCTGCCCTTTCTCTCGCATGCTTCTCGTCCGCTTTCCTTCATCGCCGTTGCTGCGCAGTCGGCATCCGTAACATCTGAGCCTGTTCTTCGATTTGCAGAGATTAGTAGAATTACTGCAGAATCGAACGTTTTCAAAGCTCTGAAGCGTGCATCTGTGAGATCGGGCCTCACAGGAGATCTGAAGCGATACCTGTGTTGTGAGGACGCTCTCCTGCTTTAGGGCTGTGTATCCTTCTCGTGTTTCATAAGAGAGTGAGAAGGAACGCTGGTGTGGGTAACGTGTTGGTTGTGCTGTACGCTCCTGACAAAGCAGTTGGTAGCACTGACCCGTTCTCTGTTAGCTAAAAAAAACTCCGTGCGATGCTGTGAATCTGAAAGGAAAGCAGCGCCTATTCAGAAGGTGGAAACTATGTATTCCTTCAAAAAGGGGCTCTAGTAATTTCTGAGAAGTTGGCACGATTGAAAAATGTTTTTGCTAGTTTTAGCATTCAGGACTAAGCATGATTATTTAACAAAAGTGTGGCTTTGAATATAAGACGTCAAGGCAGTTTGAAGGTGGCAATTTTCCATCTGGATTGTAGCCACTGAAGTTATGCTGGGTCAGAGTCCTGCCTTCTGTCCTTTCAGAAGTGAGATTAGAAAGTTGTGCTTTAGGTCGCTCGATTCCAACAGATGCAGACTGAATTCATAATATATCCTGCAAAGTGGAAGTCTGTAGCATCACCGAAAATGTGAAAGTTCTTTTTTTTTAGGTGATTTTCTTTAGAGTCCAGTTGTAACGAGGAGGTCAAAGGAATGCGTATGCCAGGTCGGCACTCATTTAAAGCAGGGTATGTGCAGGTCGTGGAGAGCTTCCGCATGCCTTTTGTTCCGTTAAACCCCAGGCACCTTTGTATGTGCGTTTGCACTCGGAGCAGGATAACAGAGCAGGGATGACAGAAAATTGCTTCTGGTTCTGTGAACTCCAGCGGCATCCTGCTTGCTCATCTCCTGAATGTTGCTG